CCAGAGTTTTGAGCACAGTTATAGAGATAAGTTGCAGCTCAGTCGGTAAAGACTCGGCCTGCAAGGCAGGAGACCCAGGTTTGATTCCTGGGTCAGGAAGATCCCCTGGAGAAGGAAATAGCAACCCACTCCAGTACTCTTGCCCGGGAAATCCCACGGATGGAGGAGCCTGGTGGGCTACAGTCCATGGGGTCATAAGAGTTGTACACAACTTAGTGACTAGAGAGAGAGAGAGAGAGAGAGAAGCTGAGGGTCCTCTTTATCTTATCTCTATTTTTCAAAATCCCCCCTTTACTATCCAGTTGCTGTAGTTTCCTAAATTCTTTCTTAAATTTCTTCAGTCTACAAGGACTATCTGTAGGTTTTCAATAAACAGTTTTAGTAAATCCATTAGATACTGAGTGCCTTGACCCTCAGGTTAAAAGTCAAAAGAAGAGGAAAAACTGTCTACAGTAGTATCCTTTCCCTTTGTCCAAGTGCTGATTTCCTTCTGCTTGACCACTCTACAGTAACTTCAGGTACATTATTTTCTATTTATTTGTTTTATTTTGTTTTGTTTTTGCACAGAGTTTATAGTTGGTATCTGCAGGAGACTCAGTATAATACAGGTGTATTTAGCTATCCTGGAAGTGGAGTTTTAAGGGATATTCTTTTAGAAATAAAGTTTATGTAAAATGTTAATTTCCTTGATATCAAAGTGTAAGATGTATTTTAATAACAGACAATAGTTACTGTTTATTATTATCCAAAACCAAAATTTTTTTCCTTCAAGACTTTGCTTGGACTTTTAGAATTAGAGAGTATAGAACAGTTTCATAGTTTATCCTTTTACACAACTTATTAAGTACTATTTTAATTGCTTGGTTTATTCAGTGACAGTTATGTGAGAGCATAGTTTATGCCTGTGGATATGTATTAAAGGGCAAATTAGAATATTTGCCCTCAAGAAGCTCTATTAATAGACCAGACAAATATTGTAACAGAGGCTATTAACTGCTATATCATAGATAGGTCCAAAATGCTTTGGGAACACATGGAAATGTAAAATTAGCTTCACCTTGTAGAGTAGGTGTGGAGGGATCAAGGAAGACACCATAGGAAGGATAATACTTATAAACCAAGTCTTGAGAGTGTATAAGCACGCATAGGAATTTTAAAAAGCTATAAACACATACACACACATACACACACACACAGTGGAGGTAAAAAACCAAATAGTTTGGACTTACCTTTTGATTACTCTGTGCATACTGTGTAGCTATAAAGTCAATTGATTTAATACCACAATTAATATTTAAGAAGAGAATGTGACTTCTTTAGGGAATGCAATGATTTTTAATTCATTCAAAAAACATTTCATTTTGAAGTATAGATTTACAGGGAGTTGCAAAAATAATATAAAGAATTTCTGTATATTCTTCACCCATCTTCTCCCAATGGTCACATCTCACATAATTATAGTACAATATAAAACCCAGAAATTTAATATTGGTATAATGTGTGTGAGTGTATGGCTCTGTGCCATTTTCACACACATACAGATTTCTGTGGCCACTACAGCATCAAGATGACAGGACTATCCCATTACCACAAAGACCTCCCTCATGCAACACCTTTATATCACACGCACCCACCCAACCAGCCCTAACCTCTGAAATCCACTAATCTCTTTTCCATCTCTATAATTTTTTCTTCTTGAGAATGTTATATAAGTGGAATCACTGTATGTGACCTATGAGACTGGTTTTTTTCACTCAGCACAAGGCCCTTGAGATCCAACCAAGCTGTTGCATGTATGTATATTTATTACTATATGGGTTTCTCTCAAGATTACTTTAGCTGTGTTCCTAAATGTTAATAAGTTGTATTCTCATTTTCATTAAATTCAATATGTATTTTTATTTCCATTTAGACTTCTTTTCAAACCCATGGATTATTTCAAAGTGTATTATTTAGATTCTGAGTGTTTGTAGATTTTCCTGTAACCCGTTACTGATACTGATTTAATTCCATTGTGCTCAGAGAACATACTCTGTGTGGTTCAACTTTTTTAAAATTTGTTGAGGTGTGTTTCATGACTCAGAATAGGGTCTGTTGTGGTGTATGTCCCATGGGTGCTTGAAAAGAGTGTGTGTTCTGCTGTTGTTGGGTACAGTGTTCAATCAAGTTCTCTTAGCTCCTGTTAGGTAATATTTTTGTTTAATTCTTCTTTAGTCTTGTTGACAGAGGATGAGATGGTTGTATGGTACACAGACTCAATGGATATGGGTTTGGGTAAACTCCAGGAGTTGGTGATGGACAAGGAGGCCTGGTGTGTTACTGTTCATGGGGTTGCAAAGAGTCAGACGTGACTGAGCGACTGAACTGAACTGAACTGAGTCTTGTTGATTTCTAATTATTTCACCAATTACAGAGGAAGGAGGTTTAAAGCCTCTGTAACTGTGACTTTTTCTCCTCTCACATCTATCAGTTTTTTAAATTCAGGCATAAGTGAGTTACAATGTTGTGTTCGTCTCAGGTGTACAGTAAAGTCTTTCTTTTTCAGATTCTTTTCCTTTATGAATTACAAGATATTGACTGTAATTCTCTGTGCTATGCAATAAATCCTTGTTTTTTGTCTATTTTATAAGCAATAGGTGTACCTCTTAATCCCAAACTCCGAATTTACCCCTTACTCCCCATCCCCTTTCCCTTTCGGAAACCACAACTTTGTTTTCTGTGTCTGTGAGTCTGTTTGTGTTCTGCAAATAAGTTCTTTGTATCATTTTTTTAGATTCTACATGTAAATGATGTCATGATTTTTGTCCAATTCTGTTGCCTCACTTTGCTTGGTATGAGAATCTCCATGTCCATCTATGTTGCTGTTAATGAGATTATAGCATTCTTTTTAAACTGAGTAATAGTTCAACAGACCGTAAGGAGGTGGGGAGCTGAAGAATTGATGCCTTCAAACCATGGTGCTGGACAAGACTCTGAGAGTCCCTTGGACAGCAAGGATATCAAACCAATCAATCTTAAGGGAAATCAACCCTTAATACTCATTGGAAGGACTGATGCTGATGTTGAAATTTCAATATTTTGGTCATCTGATGTGGACAGCTGACTCATTGGAAAAGTCCCTGATGCTGGAAAAGACTGAGGGCAGAAGAAGAGGGTGTCAGAAGATGAGATGGCTGAGCAGCATCACCAATGCTATGGACATGAACTTGGGCAAACTTTCGGAGATAGTGAGTACAGAGAGGCCTGGTGTGCTGCAGTCCATGGGGTCACAAAGAGTGGGACATGACTGGGTGACTGAACAACAGCAATAGACCATTGTGTAGATCTCTATCTCCTTCTATTTATATGTTGCTATGTATATATACACACACACACATATATATCTTTATCTATCTCTTTCTCTCTATATATACATATATCTTTATCCATTCATCTTTCAAAGGATACTTAGGTTGCTTTCATATCCTTCAGTAAATAGTGCTGCTATCAACATTGGTCACCTACCCTCTCTTCATCCTTTGTCCAACCTTTAAAGGAATAAGTCTGAAAAATTGGTCTTGAGACTAGAAAGTGGCATTTCCTAAACCAGTTTTGACTCTGGGCATCAAATGTGGGTGGAACCAGAAGGAAGGTCCAGTGCTAGGTTTATAAAATTAGGAGGCAAGACCTCTTGATGTTTACTATCTTCACAACTGCTGCAATTCTTGCTGGGTCAACTTTGTTTCCTTTTCCCTGGAGGCTGAGATTTGCAGGGGGCAGGGGACACGTTGAAAGTATGAAATGTCAGGGTTTCTTGTGCAAAATCAGTGGGTCAGCAGTGGGGGTGGAGTGAGGGGGTGAGAGGCATGAGGGATGGCTAAGCCTCCACATGTTCTGGGGAAGGTCAACCCAGGAGAGAGATGGATGGGCCAGGACTATTTGGAAGTACCAGCTATGGCCCTGGGACTCTGACCTTTGCTAGAGTGTGGGCCTTGAAAATAAGTTTTACTTTTCAGTTGACAGTACTGTGTTCTAGACTCTGGGCTAGACCAGTGAAGTCCGAAGGGAGATGCTAGTCAGGCGCAGGGTGGAGGGGAGGAGAGGAGAGAGGCAGGCCTGCCTGGAATGCTTTGGCCCCACCCACCCCTGTGCTCCAGTTTAGAAGCAGCGAAGGAAGGAACTGCTGCCATGAACAAAGAGAAGACCCATGTCAATATCACTGTTATTAGCCATGTGGACTCTGGCAAGTCTGCCACCACCACAGGGCATCTCTTTTAAAATGTGGGGGAACAGCAAGAGGACCATCAAGAAGTTGAGAAGGAGGCAGCTAGGCACCTGTGGTGTTAGTGTCTAGGAGTCGTGGGACTATATGCACAATGGTCATCCCCACAGTTGTCCGGGTTCAAGAGCCAGAATGTTGAGTGAAAGGAGGGAAATGCCACTGGGGAGACTCCGCTGGAAGCTCTGGACTCTAAGCTCCCACTCACTTGCCTGTCAACAAGCCCCTGAGGCTGCATCTGCAAGCCTGGAGGTGAGGTGACCGGACTTCTTGAGGAACAGAGTTGAAGGAGCTCCAGTGTCTGACTAGCCAGGGTTCAGATCCTGACTTGCTATCTGGGATAAAGTGTCAAAGCCTCCAGCATTTCCAGTTTATCTGATACACCATAAATTACCAGTCATTGGATTCAGCACTTCCCACCGGTCCTACCCAGGTGGCGCTAGTGGTAAAGAACCCACCTGCCAATGCAAGAGATAGAAAAGACGAGAGTTCAGTCCCTGGGTTGGGAAGATCCCCTGGAGGAGGGCATGGCAAGCCACTCCAGTATTATTGCCTGGAAAATCCCTTGAACAAAGAAGCCTGGGTACAGTTCATGGGGTTGCAAAACAGTTGGACATGACTGAGCACGCGTGCCCCAGTCCTGCAGGTGACCTTGGTCCTCGATCCCCAGTACCAAGGAAGCCAGTTCTCACCGGGTGGGTCTGGAGTTGTTCTGACTGCTTGCCCTTTTCTTATTGCACAGGCACTGGCAATGTGCCTGTGGGCTCCGTGGAGACCAACTTCCTGAAACCTGGTGCGGTTGTCACTTGCCTCCAGCAATGGCACCATAGAGGTCAAGTCTGTGGAGATGCACTGCGAGGCTCTGCCTGTTCCAGCGTGAAGAAATCCTGTGAAGGATATTCATCTTGGCTTTGTGGCCAAGACGACCGGAAGGAGGATGACTGGAAGGAGGATGACAGCAAAAATGACCGGAAGGAGGTAGGAAGGAGACCGGAAGCTTTGTGGCGCAGGTAAGCTCCCCGGGAGGTCAGGGGTGTTGGTGGTCAGAGGTGGTAGAAGCAGGTGTAAGTAATTAACCCTAATTTCGAGGGAGGCCCCAGGTTGGTCCAGAGTTGGTGCCAGATCACAGGTGCCATCAGACCTCTTCTAATTATTTTCCTCCCCACTTCCCCACCTGGTGATCATCTTGAATCACGCAGATCCACACCAGCTATTCCCCAGTGCTGACTGCCACGCATCTCATGCAAGTGTGCCGAATTGAGGGAGAAAATCGACTGGTGCTCTGGCAACAAGCTGGAGGGCGACCTAACAGGGCCCTGATGTCGGGCAGTGCGGCCATTGTGCAGATGGTCCCCAGCAAGGCCATGCGTGTGGAGACCTTCTCTGAATACCCAGCTCTAGGTGAGCCAGGGACTGATGATGGCTGCTGAGCCCTGGGAAGGAAAGGACCTCTGACGACAAGGAGTCTTCCCTTCTGTGCCTCATTCTTCCTTCCTCTTCAGGCCATTTTGTTGTGCAGGAAATGAGTAAAATGGCGGCCATTGGAGTCGTCAAGGCCATGGATAAGAAGACATCCATTGAGGGCAAGGTCACCAAGTTGGCAGTGAAGGATAGCAAGAAGTGAAGCATGATTTTCCTCCTGGCTGTTTCCTTGGCAATATCTACTATATAAGACACTTTTGTGTATTTACTGAGTAAAATTAATAGCAGTGCTTAAACTTGTTACCTATCTTAGTTTCTTCCAATGAGGAAAGCACCAAGGTCAGTGAGGAAACTCTGGGTTGATGAACAACTAATTCAAGACCCATGGGCTTCAAAGTGTTTTCCCACCCAGAGGTCAATACCATCCTTTTCCTGTTTCCCTCACATGTAAAAGTATTTTACAATGGCATAATGCCAATAGGCTAATCCAACACTACTGTTTATGTCCCTCTCACCCACCCTCTCTTTAATATGTAATTTTTTTTTTTAACTAAAGTATAGTTGATTTACAATGTTGTGTTAGTTTCAGGTGTACAGCAAAGTGATTCTGTTCTTTCTTTTTTATTTATTTTTATTTATTTTTATTTTTTATTTATTTACTTATTTATTTTTTTTTTATCACAACCATAGTGTATCTTTTTTTTTTTTTTTTACATGTATTCCCCATCCCGGTCCCCCCTCCCACCTCCCTCTCCACCCAATCCCTCTGGGTCTTCCCAGTGCACCAGGCCCGAGCACTTGTCTCATGCACCCAACCTGGGCTGGTGAACTGTTTCACCCTAGATAATATACATGTTTCAATGCTGTTCTCTTGAAACATCCCACCCTCGCCTTCTCCCAGAGTCCACAAGTCTGTTCTATACATAGGAGTCTCTTTTCCTGTTTTGCACATAGGGTTATCGTTACCATCTTTCTAAATTCCATATATATGTGTTAGTATACTGTAATGGTCTTTGTCTTTCTGGCTTACTTCGCTCTGTATAATGGGCTCCAGTTTCATCCATCTCATTAGAACTGATTCAAATGAATTCTTTTTAATGGCTGAGTAATATTCCGTGGTGTATATGTACCACAGCTTCCTCATCCATTCGTCTGCTGATGGGCATCTAGGTTGCTTCCATTTTCTGGCTATTATAAACAGTGCTGCGATGAACATTGGGGTACACGTGTCTCTTTCAGATCTGGTTTCCTTGGTGTGTATGCCCAGAAGTGGGATTGCTGGGTCATATGGCAGTTCTGATTCTGTTCTTTCTTTATGTCTCTGTGTCTATACTTTTTCAGATTCATTTTCATTACTGGTTATGACAAGATATTACCTCTAGCTCCCTGTGCTATACAGTAGGGTCTTGTTGTTTACCTATTTTATATACAGTAGTGTGTATCTGTTAACCCCAAACACCTAAATGACCCTTCTCACCACCTTTGCTCCCCCTTTTGGTTAACCATAAGTTTGTTTTCTAAGTGTTTCTGTTCTGTAAAAAAAGTTTCTTTGTACAATTATTTTTAGATTGCACATATAAGTAATGTCATATGATATTTGTTTGTTTCTATTTGACTTCCTTTACCTTAGTATGAAAAGCTCTACATCCACTCATATCCTCTCCTCCCCTGTATTCTGTTCCTGCCCCACATGCCCCTCCCTATAAATATATGTGTGTGTATATATATATATATATATATATATATATATATATATATATGAATCACTTTGTGGTACACATGAAACTAACACAACTTTGTAACTCAGTTATACTTCAATTAAAAAAAACTGGTAGATGTGAAAGGAGATATAGCCAAGTCAGGTATAGAGACTTTTAAACCCCCTTTTTCTGTAATTGGTAAAATAATTAGACAGAAATCAGCAAGGCTAGAGAAGAACTCAACAAAGATATAAGCTAACAGGAGCTAAGGGACCTTAATTGAACACTGTACCCAACGCACATACTTTTCTTTTTTTTCCTTTACATTTTATTTATTTATTTTTCATTTATTTATATTAGTTGGAGGCTAATTACTTTACAATACTGCAGTGGTTTTTGCCATACATTGACATGAATCAGTCATGGATTTACATGTGTTCCCCATCCCATTCCCCCCACCCACCTCCCTCCCCATCCCATCCCTCTGGGTCTTCCCAGTGCACCAGCCCTGAGCACTTATCTCATGCATCCAACCTGAGCTGGTGATCTGTTTCACCCTTGATAGTATACTTGTTTCAATGCTGTTCTCTCAGAACATCCCACCCTTGCCTTCTCCCACAGAGTCCCAAAGTCTGTTCTGTATATCTGTGTCTCTTTTTCTGTTTTGCATATTGGGTTATCATTACCATCTTTTAAAATTCCATATATATGCATTAGTATACTGTACTGGTCTTTATCTTTCTGGCTTACTTCACTCTGTATAATGGGCTCCAGTTTCATCCATCTCATTATAACTGATTCAAATGAATTCTTTTTAACGGCTGAGTAATATTCCATGGTGTATATGTACCACAGCTTCCTTATTCATTCGTTTGCTGATGGGCATCTAGGTTGCTTCCATGTCCTGGCAATTATAAACAGTGCTGTGATGAACATTGGGATGCACGTGTCTCTTTCAGATCTAGTTTCCTCAGTGTGTATGCCCAGGAGTGGTATTGCTGGGTCATATGGCAGTTCTATTTCCAGTTTTTTAAGGAATCTCCACACTATTTTCCATAGTGGCTGTACTAGTTTGCATTCCAACCAATAGAGAACACACACACTTTTCAAGCACCAATGGAACATACACCAAAACAGACCCTATTCTGAGTCATGAAACACACACACACCTCAACAAATTTTATAAGAATTGAACCATACGAAGTATGTCCTCTGAGCACAATGGAATTAAATCAATATTAGTAACAATTAGGTTACAGGAAAATCTACAAACACTTGGAATCTAAATAATACACTTTGAAATAATCCATGGGTTTGAAAAGAAGTCTAAAGGGAAATAAAAATACATATTGAATTTAATGAAAATGAGAACACAACTTATTAACATTTAGGAACACAGCTAAAGTAATCTTGAGAGAAATCCATATAGCAATAAATATAGATACATGCAACAACTTGGTTGGATCTCAAGGGCATTATGCTAAATGAAAAAAGCCAGTCTCATAAGGTCACATATGGTGATTTCACTTATATAATATCTCAAGAAGAAAAAATTATAGAGATGGAAACTCTCTATATAGAGATCTCTAAATATAGAGATCCACTATATAGATTGGTGGATTTCAGAGGTTAGGGCTGGTTGGGTGGGTGCGTGTGATATAAAGGGGTTGCATGAGGGAGGTCTTTGTGGTGATGGGATAGTCCTGTCATCTTGGTGCTGTAGTGGCCACAGAAATCTATATGTGTGTGAAAATGGCATAGAGCCATACACTCACACACATTATACCAATATTAAATTTCTGGGTTTTATATTGTACTATAATTATGTGAGATGTGACCATTGGGAGAAGATGGGTGAAGAATATACAGAAATTCTTTATATTATTTTTGCAACTCCCTGTAAATCTATACTTGAAAAGGAAAAGTTTTTTTTTGAATGAATTAAAAATCATTGTCTTCCCTAATGAAATCACATTCTCTCCTTAAATATTAATTGCAGTATTAAATAAATTGACTTTATAGCTACACAGTATGCAGAGTATTAAAAGGTAAGTCCAAACTATTTACAGTTTTTACCCTCAGTGTAAATACATGTAATATATTTAATATATATTATATATATAATACCACTTTTTGAAATACCCTTGAAAACTTATAAACTTGTAAGACTTCCAAGACTCATAAGTTTATACACTTTCAAGACTTGGTTTATAAATATTATCTTTTCTATGGTGTCTTCCTTGATCCCTCTACATTTACTATACAAGCTAAAGTTAATTTTACCTTTCCTTGTGTTCCCAAGGCACTTTGAACTTATCTGTGATACATTTCACATGTGAGCAAGGTAATGCTCAAAATCCTTCAAGCTAGGCTTCAACAGTACATGAACCAAGAACTTCCAGATGTACAAACTGGATATAGAACAGGCAGATGAACCAGAGATTAAATTGCCAACATCTGTTGAATCATAGAAAAAGCAAGGGAATTCCAGAAAAAAGCATCTACTTTGGCTTCATTGACTACACTAAAGCCTTAGACCATGTGGATCACAACAAACTGGAAAATTCCTAAAGAGATGGGAGTACCAGACCACCTTACCTGCCTCCTGAGAAACCTGTATGCAGCTCAAGAAGCAACAGTTAGAACCAGACATGGAACTACAGACTGGTTCCAAATTGGGAAAGGAGTATGTCAAGGCTGTATATTGTCACCTTGCTTATTTAACTTCTATGCAGAAGGCATGTGTTGTGCTAAGTCGCTTTAGTTATATTTGACTCTTTGCAACCAGGCTGCTCTATGGAATTCCCCAGGTAAGAATGCTGTAGTGGGTTGCCATGCCCTTCTTCAGGGGATCTTCCCAAAATGGGGATCGAACCCATGTGTTTTGAATCTCCTGAATTGGCAGGCAGGTTCTTTACAACTAGTGCCACCTGAGAAGCCCTCTATACAGAGTATATCATGCAAAATGCTGGGCTAGATCAATCTTAGCTGGAATCAAGGTTGCTGGGAGAAATGTCAATAACCTCAGATATGCAGATGATACCACCCAAATGGCAGAAAGCAAAGAGGAACTAAAGAGCTTCTTGATGAAAGTGAGAGAGGGGAGTGAAAAAGCTGGCTTAAAACTCAATATTAAAACAACTGAGATCATGGCATCTGGTTCCATCACTTCATGGCAAATAGATGGGGAAACAATGGAAACAGTGAGAGACTTCATTTTGTTGGGTTCTAAAATCACTGTGGAAGGTGACTGCAGCCATGAAATTAAAAGATGCTTGTTCCTTGGAAGAAAAGCTATGACAAACCTAGACAGCATTTTAACAAGCAGAGATACCACTTTGCTGACCAATGTCTGTACAGTCAAAACTATGATTTTCCAATAGTCATGAATGAGTTGGACCATAAAGAAGGGTGAGTACCAAAGAATTGATGTTTTTGAACTGTGGTGCTGGGGAATACTCTTGAGAATTCTTTGGACAAGGAGGTCCAAAGGAGGTGAAAC